GTGCAGCGGCGCCGCCGCCAGCCGCTCGCGCAGCGCCCGCGGCAGCGCGGCCCAGCACCGGGCGGCGACCGCCCGCCACTCCTCCGCCGGCAGCGCCATGGGCCCGCGCTGCTAATGGCAGCGCCCAGTAGCACCTGCACGGCACTTCCGCCGTACAGCGCCACCCAGCCAATAAGCGCGCTCCGCTTGCTGCGGCGCGCTGCGGTGACGCAGGCGGGGCGCGCCGGAAGGGGCGGGCCGGGCGGCGGGCGGCGGGAGGATTTAGCGGGAGCGGCGGAGCGCGGCTCTGTGAGCGGCAGCATGGGCGTGCGGCTGAGCGAGGGCGCCATCGCGGTGAGGCCGCTGTGCGCGGGGCGGGCCCCGGGGCCTGCTCCCTCCGGTGGGGGTGGTGGGAGAACCGGCCGTTGCCCTTTGGCGGGAACGGACCGGGTGGGTCGGGTCGATGACTGTCAGGTCTAGGTCTTGGTTTTTTGAGGGGAAATACTGGGGTTTTGGTTAGGTCCTGGTCTCCTGGTCAGGCCTCTTGGTCGGGAGGGGACTGGAGGAGAGGAGGCAGCATCACTCGGGGTCAGGCCTGGTTGTGAGGGCAGGCCCTGGGTGTTGGGTGAGGCCTGGTTGGGAGGTGCTGGGGGTGGTTTGGGGGGCGGCAAGGCCCGGGGTCAGGTTTGACCCCCAGGGGATGGGGGGAGGCGGAGTGCAGGGTCCTGAGCTGGACTGGCCCCTGTGGAGGGTCCTGGCCAGTCCTAGCAGGGTCAGTCACTTGCACGGATGTGCCTGTATCCCCTCTCCTGGGGGTCCTCTGAGTGGGAAGGTGACACCTCCTTAAAAGCCTCTCTCTTTTCTTCCTTTCTAGGCCATAATGCAGGGGGAGAACGTTGCCAAGCCTGTGCTGCAAGTCATAGTGAGTACTGCTCCTTACTTTGTCCTCTCAACAGTGACTGTGAGTGCTGCCTTGCAGGGCTGCGCTGCTGCTGAGCTTGCTCCATAGAGCAGAGCTGATGTAGCCTTAGTGTGAATGGGAAAAGTAGGTTTTACATGACTGGAGCTCTGCTTTTGGTATCAGTGCTTGAGAAGAAGCCTAAACAGACTGAGTCACTCGCTGAAGATGTGACTTTGCTGCTGAAGTGTTTCTGAATGAGCCAGTGAAGACTAACAGTCTGGTGTTTTTCTTTAGAACACCCGGGCTATTGCTACAGGAAATGGGCCACCGCGCTACCGGGTGTTGATGAGTGATGGTGTTAACACCCTCTCCTGTAAGTATGACAGCCTGCAGTGAGTTTTTTTGCAAGTGTGGAGATAGCAGAGTTGCCATAGTTTCTGGTCCATCACCCAGGCTTGTAGTGATGAAATGGGTATTGAAGGAACAATTTTTATATATACATATATATACACACACACACTATAAAACTCATATATAAAACTCATTTTTCTGAACTATGTGGCTGTATTTCAGTGCTCCCTTGTGAACTGCAGGCAATTAATTCACTTAAGGGACATAATCAAGACAGAAGTCTATAGCCAATGTTTTCATAACCATGGCTTTGAAGAAGTTTAATCATTCTCTAATGTATTCAGTGTATTCAAATTATCATTGCCTGATTCTTGCCCTAAACTGGAAGGGCAAATCCTTACTTTATGTTCATGGTGCTGGTGAATTGTTAGCTGCTAACTAATGGGGCAAGCTATAGATCTAATGTAGCACCAGTAGACTGACTCAGTTGTGGACAACTGTAGTAGCACCTTGTAAGGCTGGTCTATGGTAACTGTTTCAATGTTTTTTATTCTACTTTTTATGCAGCATTCATGCTGGCAACACAGCTGAACCCTCTGGTGGAAGAAGAACGTTTAGCAGCTCACTGTATCTGCCAGGTTAACAGATTCATTGTCAACAGCCTGAAAGATGGAAGGTATCCATGTTTTAATTGCAGTAATATTATAGCTACTCCATCCTCTGTGACTAAGCAGAGGCCAAGTGCTTTTCTTTGGATTATCAATAAATAATTGGGCTCGAGTGTGCTGAAGGGAGAATGCACAACACAATCATTAACAACAGTAAAAACTGCTGAATGTGATTGCAATGCAGATCTATTTTATACAGAAGGCTGAAGCAAACAGCAACAATATACAGAATTATACTAAAGCTTATTAAAACTCATTTAAAATGAACTGTTATGATCTAAACTCTGCAAATGTCTTGAAGAATGGTAACAGGCTCTATTTTTTTTATTCAATGTATCTGCAGAAAGAATGCAGCTTTCTTTGAATCGGGGAATGTATCCTGTCTTGTAATATCTGGCAGGATTTTTTCAAGCCACTATGTGCCAATTCAGCCTGTCATCTTCTGTCTTTGAAATATTATATTATTTTCAGCCTACCTGTACCTTGTGAGTGGGTTAAGCTGATAGTGGAGAGCTTTTTATTCCCAGATCTCTTCTCCACCGTATCTGTCCCTAGTGGCTGTTTCTCTTACCTGCATGCAAAGGATATTCACAATCTGTTAAGACATGCAAAAGAAATGGAAAATCTTTATCACTCTCTGCTGTGTGTTTGTAGGAGAGTGGTTATTCTGATGGATTTGGATGTTCTGAAAACTGCTGATATGGTTGGTGGGAATATTGGCAACCCAGTGCCATACAATGAAGGTAGGTAATTGCTGTAGACCAATACCTTGTCTGAAGAGACAGTCTTCCAGGTGCCTGTTTCTCTTTACTTAACAAGCAGGATGACGTGCTGAGTTTTCTTATGCCTGCAGCAATGATGTCCAGAGCTTGAACATTCTTCCTATTTGCTTAACATGAAACAAATTTTGTATTTTTGTAAGATGTTAGAGGCTGAAACATTGACCATGGTTATGTGATACTGGGTAGTGTCTATATTTGTGATAACATTGAGAGTTTTTTATTATACATGCATATTATAAATTGGTGCCTACCTAGACTTCCAGCAAGTATGCAGAAGCCGCTCTGTATCTTCTCATAATGATTAACCAAAGGGAGTAAGATCTTTATCTGTAAAGAAGACAATAGCAGGAAGATGTAATAACCATCTATGAAGCTATAAGATGGCTTGGAGGGGATGAGTAAAGAGTGATGACTCTCCTCTTCTGTGTTCATTTTATGCTCTTTAGTTCTTACATTATCAGGCAGTGGTTTTAAAACAAAGGCTGTACCACGCCCCCAAACAGTGTGGAGTTGAATTATGGAACTTGACGCTACATCATGTGGGTGCCAAAAACTTGGCACAGGTTCAAAAAGCAATTAGCCATGAAGGAAAAATCCATTAAAGGCTATTAAACATAATGGTACATCCTCTGCGGGAATGTTGGGTTCAAGCAGCACTAAAACTAGATTGCTCAAAGTACATGGTGAGATACAGCTACAAAAACACAACCCATATACAGACTTTTCGAAGCACCTGTTACTACCCTGATGTCTGGAAAAAAAGATGCAGATCTGGGTTGACATTAACTAACCTACCGTGAGTCTCTTGTTTTTATTATAGTGCATAACTATGTTCTCTGTTTTCATTGCTGAACTATTTCCAGGGTGATAATTTTCCAGATGAGTATATATATTTACTTCAGATGTTCATAAGTTCAACCAAAATTGTGAAATTCATTCTGCTTTTTTCCTAGTTCTACTCCTAAAAAAAGGAGACAGGATAAATAGCATTTAAAGATATCTGAATGGCTCCATTACTGACACATATACGAGTAATAGCTGAAACTAATCAGCAAAATAGCTTTTTATGGAAGAATGGCTGCTTTTTTTAGTCAAAGAGTACATATATTTTAGTACTAAGGGACCAGCCACTGTTAACAGTTTTCTGTAGGGTGTTCTGGACAGTGATAGGTACACTGCTGCTCTTGCTAGAAATCCACTTTACCAACTGAAGTAGAAATTTCACTGTGGCAAAGGCAAAGACATCTTTCTTCATTAACTTCTCTTTCTGGGGAATTAGAGGGGCGTTTGTTAAATGAGCCTAAAGAAGCCATTGTTCCTGTGATAGTTACTTAGCTAATTGCTGTTTAAAAAATGTGTTGACATCTCTGATTTTATGGTTTAATCTCTCAGTTGCTGTAGAGACCAAGCTTTTTCAGAAAAGCTATTGAGCAGACAGTTCTGTCTCTCATTTCCTTTGCTTGTGTGATACAATAGCAAGCTTCTTGCAAGTTATAGTGTCTTTCAGTTCTCATTGTTGCTTAGAAACAACTGAGAATATCAGGTCTTAAACTGATTTGCAAATATAGCTTAAAGTATAAATTTTAGCCAAAGTTTGGTACTTTACTTTGGTAAAATGTCTTTGTGAAGTTATTGATGTTATTCTCTGCACAGATTTTGCTTTTTCAGCCTTATATATAGCTTTGATAGATGATAAAGAAACTGCATAAGTTTTAAATGGCCATAATCTCTACATCATTTCACCAGAAGTGCTTACTAGAGTTCTTCATTTAGACTCACAGAAGTTCTTGGCACTCAAGTCTTTAAATTTCCATACTATTTGAGGTTGGCACTGTTGCAGGTGCATGATCACAGTAAGTGCACTCTTGAATTAGATGAGTAAGATTGAGTTTGATGTGCTGTATACTGCATTTTAACATTGACATTATTCTGTAGACTTCATAACCTTTGGTTTGGTATTAAGTAAGGTCCCGGTTACAGAGGTAATAGCGTAGATCAGGTAGGTCCAAAGCAGCCTTTCTGATCCGCAGGGCTGCCTCTTTTGTCATAAAGGTTTTTATATAATGGCAAAAGGTTATTTAAAGTTACAAATGCTTTAAGTTCTTTTATATATTGACAGGTGATATTTTGAGAAAATTTGAGCTAGTGCTGAATGAATATCATAAGATCATTTTGCTGTTTTCCTGAATGAACTTCAGATATTCTTTAAAATGAGCCCTATTTTTAGTCTTATTCTAAGCCCAGATCTCATATTGTTAAGCCTAGGAATATAGAATGTTCTTTTCTACACTATAATACCACAGTAGGACCCAAGGAGTGAGAAGTTCACCACTTACTGCTCAACTGTAAAGCAGCCAAAACCTAATCTGCTGAACAAGGAAGGTAGAGACTCAGTCTTAAGACACCATAGAAACTTATTGGGCAGTGTTTCACAGTAGCTTTTGAAAATTAAGATTGAGCAGTTTAGGTCTTAGTAGAAAATAAGATGATGATGTTAATGTCATTCATCTCATTCAAGTTACTCTTGGAATTTATTTTTACTGTAGCAGTTGCTTGTTATTTATATTTAATTTATGCCATTAATCCTTTAGTGTTGAAATGTTTGGAATACTTGCCCATTC